GCTTAAAATTCAAGTCTAAGTTTGAATGCCACCTCCTTAGAGAGGGTGTCCTCAGTCACCATACATAAAATAACCCCACACCCCAGTGACTCTATGTCCTATTAGGCTATTTTGTTTTCACTGAAATTCTTATTATAATCATTTTCTTATTAAGCTGCCCCCCCACATCAAAATGGATATTTGTTTTCTTCTTAACCACTCACTGGATACCCAGTGCCTCAGTCAAGGCCAGCCCAAAAATATTGTCCGTCTGAGGGAAGAAGTCCGAAACTCCGCTTCCTTCAAGAATGCCCATTAGCTCCTCCTACGGCACCTCCCCTGCCTACAGTTATGTACTTGTTTCCCTGTTAGAGTCGAAGCTTTCCCAGGCCCCGAGCTAGGTTCAAATGGTTATCCTCCAGAGCGCCTTAGTATATATTTACTGAATTCAATTATACTCCTAAAGGAAATCTAGTAACAAATTTCAGTAGCAGGCTGGAGTATCAGAGAGAAATAGAAACAATTAGCCACAGCCTCAAACCCTTACCACAGAGGCTGTTCATTTTCAGGTATTCATTCTCAGGTAGGATTTATTTCCAGATTTCCCCTATTCAAGAGTTCTGTCTGCAGAACCTGCCATCGGTCTATTGGTTCAAAAGCAAAGGAAGCAGAACTGGCAAATGGATGAACAAAGCAAAAGGCTCATGTCCTCAAAAGTTTAATCAGTACCTACTGGGTGGCATGATTTCCTGACAATATACAGGCAAAGTCATGGAGCGGAGGTGTTAGGAAGAAAGCTATCAGTCTTTAAGCAGAGGGGAAAAGGAACAAGCAGAGGAAAGGAATGATAAAAAGGAGATTGATGTTCAAAAATCAACTTTCAAGCCAGACCAAGGAGAATATAGAAAAACTTTCTAAATCTCTACAGTGGTATTGATTACTGTGCTCTCCATAGCAGGTAAAGAAAAGACACTCTCAACCCTCTGTAATGTGTAAATTGCTTTTAGTCGCTCTCCCCAGGAAAGCAAGACGTGTCAGCTTGCAAGTTGTTAGGCTGCCAATCCTATTGTCAGGCAACCAGGACATTTGAATTCAGAAGTGCTGAAATTCCATTTGGGGGTTTTCTGCCACAAATCCCTAACATAGACAGAGACCTCTAGCTAGAAAATGAGTAAGCCTCGCACATCAAATCTCTTTTCGAATGTATTTTAAACAGCTCCGCTCAAAGAGTCCTGGCAACAAGTTACAGATGGAGGGGTACTCCACCAGGCCGGGGACAGGTGAGAGGGAGGGTGGGCGGTTCTTGCAGGAAGAACAATAGCTACCCACTGTCACCACAGGGCCTTTGTTCTTTCCCTTTTATTCATTCAACAAATCTTCCTGGCAAGGCAGTGCATCACAGTGCTGTGGGATTTAGGCTTGGCAGCAGCAGGTTTGCTTTAAATCCTGTTGCGCTGGTTAGTCTTATGTGTCGACCTGACGAGGCCAAGTTATTCAATCACACTTGAATCTAGGTGTTGCTGTGAAGGTACTTTGGATTTCGTAGGTTTGACATCTACGAAAGGCAGTCGGTGGCCTTTACATAAAGGAGATTATCCTTGATAATCTGGGTGGGCCTCATCTAATCAATGAAAGGTCTTAAGAGCAAAACTGAGGTTTCCCTGAGAGAGAAGAAATTCCACCAGTGGCCTGCAGCATCGACTCTCGCCTGAGAGTTTCCAGCCTGCTGTTGGCCTGCCCTGAAGCTTTTAGACTTGCCCAGCCAGACCTTGACAGTTGCATAAGCCAGTTCCTAGAAATTTCTTCCTACCCCACTCCCTCTCTCATATGTATAGTATTAGTAGAATTTATAGTAGAATGTGTATATACACACACACACTAGTAGGCTTATAGGTATATATATATATATATATACACACACACACACACCTAGTGACTGAGCTGACCTTGGGAAAGGTCCTTATCATTTTTGTGCCTCAGTTTCTTTATCTATAGAATAAGGGTAGCAAGAGCATCCATCTCACGGGCTTCTGGTGAGGATTAAATGAGTTAATAAATGTAGGTCCTGAGACTAGGGATTGGCACATAGTAAGTCCTCTTTTTAATTATTAAGCATCTATTGTTTGCCTAAAAAAGCTGCTGGGGAGAAATAAGAGTAAAAAAGATGAAATGCTTGACATTAAGAAGCATGCGTTCCTCAGAGGTTTACAAGGCATAATCACAAGTAAATGCAGTCAGAATGTAACCATAGTACACACTCATAATTAGGGAAAGGTTGGCTTGTAATGCTAATACTCCTCCTAATGAGGATGGATAATATTTATCTACTGTATGCTAAGTATGGCATAATTTCGTTTGCTTGTTTTTTTCATTCTTCCTTTGTTCATCTATTATTTCACTTAACAAACATTCACTGGGCTCCTGTTATATATTAGGTATAGTTCTAGATGCTAAGGATATAGTGGAAAATCAGACAGATTTTCTTCCTTGTAATATATATTCTAGCAGGGACTACAAATCAGACAGATTTGCCTCCTTGTAATATATATTCTAGCAGGGACTACAAAAAATACATACATGAAAAAATATGTCATATAATTTCAAGTATGGGTAAGTTCTATGAAGAAGGACAAACTATGGTAAGAATGGGGAGGGCAGGTCTGGTGACACTTAAGCTGAGACCTGAAGCAGCAGCTTTGCAAATATCTGGGGGAAGGTGACTTGACGTAAGAAAGCAGCAAGTGTGAGGTGCCTGTGTGGCTCACTTGGTTAAGCATCTCACTCTTGATTTCAGCTCAGGTCGTGATCTCAGGGTCATGAGATTGAGCCCCGCGTCTGGCTCCATGCTCAGCAGGGAGTCTGCTTGAGATCCTCTCCCTCTGCCTCTGCATCTCCCCCCACCCTCTCTCTCTCTCAAATAAATAAATCTTAAAAACAAACAAACAAACAAACCCGGCAAGTATGAAGGCCCTTAGATTGAGAATAATCTTGACATACTGGAGGAAAATAAAGAAGCCCACCGTGGCTGTGTTCGAATGAGCAGTGGGAAGTCAGTAAAGAAATGAGGTGGGGAAGGGCAGAGGAGCCCAGACCTTACAGAGCCTGTAGGCCATGATGAAGAGTTTTATTTTACCTGAAGTGTGATGGGAAGATGTTGATGCATTGTATGTAGGAGATGCAGATGTTTATCGTAGATGCCGGGGAGAAGTCTGAGCTCTGCTGGTGGGGAGTGGAGAAGAGAGTGAACGCAGCAAGTGTAGAGTAGCTCCTGGAGTAGAACAGGTGAGGGGTGACGCTGGCGGCCATGCCGGGGACGGGCACGGAGGACATGAGACGTGGGTGACAGAACGGATTCGGAGGAGAGAGATGTGGGATAAAGCCTGAAGTTAAGACGCACATGGTGCGTTGACATCTCTGAGCTTCACAGGCTTCAAAGGCCTAAGCATGAGTTCCCCGGCTGTTTCCAGATATGCTCCCCACCCAGCCTCAAAGCCTCCCCACCTGGGACTTCCTGCCTTGGTGGGAACAGCTGCACTCCACCCCGTCCTATCTAACAGGTTTCGCTTCCCCGCCAGCCTGTGAAATTATTCAAACAAGCCAATCACATCCTCCCACAGGGAACGAAGCCTGTCCCCCCACTCCTGCGCCTGCTGCCAGGGCTTTCTGGCTTGTTCATTCTGTTCCTGAGCGCACCCTCTTGTGTCCCTGCATGGCATGCGCTGCCTGTCTACTCCGGGCTGTGCCGAACCTGTGGCCGGGGAGCTGCTCGTCCCATCTGTCCAGGGGTGGGTGCGGTGTGTTGGGCCATCTCTTACTTTCTCAGGCAGGGGATCCCTCCCTCAACAATGGAGTGAATAGGAGGCGATCGCAACAAGTGCCGTCACAGACAGAACGGCCCAGCCACAACCCAGGGCACCCCGTCAGCTTTCACGCGGCTCTTGGCTCATTCCCTGGCGCCTCAGGTGGCCAGAAGGTCCGCGCGTGACTGATTGGGTGGAGACAGAAACTGAAAGCTGCAACTTCATAGCCGCAGCTAGAAATCCAAAATACCCTAAAGGAGTTTGTACAGAGAGAGAGAGAGAGAGAGAGAGAGAGAGAGAAGAGTGAGCGGGAGGCCTGCACTGCAGGGAAAGGCAGGGCTGTAGCAGAAGATGGTTTCTATCCCCCAAGGTCTGGGTTGCAGGCATAGCCATTTTCTGCTGCCTCCGGCTCTGTCCGGGCAGAAAACCTAATTCTCAGAGTTACAGAACAAAAACAGAAACAGAAGACATTCATGACAACCTTGGGCACAGCAGAGGGGTTAATTCAAACCTGACTTAAGCCCGGGGTCCTTGAGCCATACAACCATTGCCACTGGGGAGGGCCCTACTCTCCGCACAGAGAAAGGGACTGAGGGGGTCCATCTGCTACTTGCATTCCCATCAGCTCCTTCAAACGGGCGGCGCGGGCGTGGGCTGGGGAAAGCTGTGCTGCCCAGTCGCGGGCTCAGATGGGGATGGGAGCCCCTTTAGGAAGGTGGCAAGTTGGCATTTTTTTTTATGGTTTTAAACATACAACTGGAATTATATATAAATGTATACATGAGTTTATATATATATACTTGTACTTATATATTCATATATCTATAAGTATATATTATATATATATACTTTTTATGGTTTTACATTTTTTCCACTTCTTAAAGAAACATTATGTATATATATGACTGGAATTATATATAAATGTATACGTGAGTTTATATATATATATATACACACATACTGATACTTATATATCTATGTTATATATATATACTTATACTTAAATATATACCTTTTATATATTTATATATTATATATCTATTTATATTTATATATATTTATTTATATATATATATCACTGTAACTTTCATGCTGTGGTTCCATGCACTTAGTCCAATACCCAATATTATTGAAATTACTGACTCCATCCTATCAGTAATCAGTAAATATTTATGATTACACATTAGGTTAATATGTTCCGCTTGGTGCCTATTTCAACAGCCTCCGAGCTGCCGTTCACCTTCAACTCTGAAGGATCACATACACCTTTACCAGGCTACCTGTGGAGTGTTCCAGGAGCTTTGCACAGTCTCGGCAGGGAAGCTCTTAGCTGCATCCCCCTTTCTCAGGAGCACAGGTATGGCAGTGCATTGAAATTCTTCTCTGGAGACATTCATTTGACACACTCATTAAGGATCTACAAACACAAAATAGCTTACGAAAAGGGAACGGGCAACTGTCCCACACAGTGTAATGCCTTGTCACCTTGGCTAAATTTTTGGAAAATTATTTGGTAAATCAAGAGATGTTCCATTCCTGAGACTATCAAAACACAGCTATTAACCTTTTTAGCACCCAAATATGAATACAAGTCCAACATCTTTTAGTCATTTTGGGGCTCTGAAGGCAACATACCACCTTTAAAATTTAAAATTTTACTTAACCCATTTATGCCGTTGCTCACAAATCACCCCAACTTGGATGCGCCCCCCTCCAACAAAAGGCTGTAGAATCTGTCCAAATTGAAATCAACAAGAATTCCTGTAATGTTCTTAGAGTGTCTTTCGTTGCGGAGGCTTTAGCAACTCCTCTCGTAGAGTCTCTGGGTTGCTTGTGATGGCCATAAATTGCCCTTCCTTGGCCCTGTGTCATACATCATCAGAGTGGAAACTGCAGGCCACTTACTGGGCTTTCTTGGGAATAGAGGCTCTAACAGACCCTGAATCTATGACCCTCCATATCGTTATGTCTACATTCATGAAAGCAACACCGCATAAACTTAGCACAACTACCGAGGCCACCTTGATGCAGAATGGAGCCAAAAATGGGCCCTCTGGCATATTCTACCTGGAGGAGGCAGGGGCCTCCCCTGTCCTCAGTCCCTTGCCATATGCTAGGGTGCTAGAGGAGGATACCAGTTTCTCAGACTCCTTGCCTATCAGGGAAGCCCCTTGAGATTAAAGGAATTAATAGAAATGACGTTTTATGGGCTTGATAAATGAAATCACCACCATCATGTGTGATGGAGCTCAGTGGAATGTTGCTGTTTTCCATCCCTTAACCAGGATGTCCCTGATAAAGGATGGAAGGTTAGCACAGATGCCCAAATTTCAGGCATCCATCTCAGCACAGGATGCCTTGACCAACAAATGGCCTCATCTGCACCTTTGACAAACTGGAGTCATTACCTAAGTATTGCCCCATTTGGGGTAAAGAGCTCTGGGCATCTACCTCATAGACACCCAAGATAAAAGTCAAGGTAACAGACGTTTCTACATATGGTAAGGCCACGACACAAGGCTTTCCCCAGGGCACTCCTACCCTCTTTGGAGTAGTTTCAGACATTATTAATAGTGACCAGGGCATTAATTTCCATTTACCAGAATATGCAAAGCTAGGCTCTTGGAGAATGTTTAGTGGAACATTTACTTGCCTTACAGATCAAGCAGCTGCTTTAATTGAGAGGCCCAGTGGTTCCTCAGAGAACTCCTATTTAAGTTATCAAGTGGCCAGTGAACCTCCCACTGGGTGTCACTACTCCCACAGGCATTGATTAATCTAAATTCACACCCCAAGGCACATGTACCCCTACGCTCATGCCATGCCCGTCCCTCAGTTGCCTGTATTAACCATAGAGGAGGATATCTCCCAAGTTCATGATTTTGACAACCACCCCACCGTATGGTCCTCTCCCACTTGGTCACATGCCCATGACGCTTCCTAGGGAGGTACTTCTACTCCGTGAAAGTCTCAGTCATCAGCAAGGTTTAAACTGATGCCAAGACTTCAAAGTGTTGATTGTGGTACAAGGACTGAAATTAAGATGCAGTGCTTAAGTGCTGCCTTGACATCTTGAGCTTTCGCAGGGTCCCAGGGGCCGAAGCACGAGTACCCCGGCTCTTTCTAGATATGCGCCCCACCTGGCTAGCTCCCACATCAGCTGCACCATCTGCACTACACCAGGGCCTCAGCCTAACAGATTTCACTTCTCTATCATCTGCAAAATTATTCAGCCAAGCCAGTTGTATCCCCCCGCTGGAACAAGAGGTCACCCCCACCCTTACTCCTACCAAGCCTGTCTTCCACAGCTCTTGCTTGTTCACTCTGTTCCTGAGCACAGCCCTCGCATGGCCCTACCCGGTATGCGTTGTCCTTCTGCCCTGGGCTGTTGAGTACATGTGACTAAGAAGGGGCTGCCAATCTCATCTGTCCAGGGTTGGGTGCCACGTGTTTGGTTATGTCATACTACTTAGGGAGGAGATTCCCTCCTTCACCCACCGGGTGGAAACAAGGCAATCAGGATCAGATCAAACAGCAATTGCTGATAGGTGGGAGGTGCCAGGGATGGGGAGGGTCAAGAATGTCATCCAAATTTTTTACATGAGAAACTGAGTAAATGCTGATGTTATCTCCTAAAAGGGGGAAAGATAGGGAAGGAAAAGTTTCGGGGGAGGAAATTAAGAAGAGAGTTGGAGAGATAAAAGACTGTATTGTCAAGCAAGATGGAATGGAATAAAATGGTTTTGAGAAATGATGAGGGAGAAATCACTTCCAGTTGGGAGAATCAAATAGGCTCATGTGAAGGGAGGCATTTGAATCGAGCCTTGTTGAAAAGACTCCCAGAGCTAGTGCTGGGATTATATATTCCAGCAGATGGTAATAGCAAACCAAGGAAGAAAGTTAGGGAAGCCCAGAAGGACAAGTGATGTGGCTTAGCTGATTGGCAATAACAGTCAAGGCTGTGACCATATGCTGGGCCTGCCTTATCAAAGACCTTGAACCCTGACCGCGTTGAGAGCTTAAATCTTATCAAGAAGGTATGAGAATGTGTTGAGGTTTGCCAGCAGTGATGAAAGATGTGTGCTCAGAAGATCGTTCTCCCCCTCCGTGTGTCCAGCATGGAAGGGGGTGTGGTGGAAGTTGGGAGAACAGGGAGCAGTTTTTGCAGTTGTCTGTGCTTAGAAATGATGAGGTCTTATGTCGGATAAAATCAGGAACCGATGTGAGAGACTTGCAGGAAGAGGATAAAAACAAAAACCACTTGAATGGGGGTCTTGGGGGGTGAAGGAGAAGAGAGAGAAGTTCTCAATGGTTCGAGGTCTAGGAGATTGTGCAGTTGCCAGCAAATATGAAGATCATGGGAAGAGAAATAGGTCTGAGGCAACGGGGATGATTTTCATTTCAGCATGCTAAGTTTGAGATGTGGCTGTGACTTTTATATTGAGGTAGCAGGAAACAGGGGTTACCCCTTTTGGAAAGAGATCAGGGTTCTGGCTATCAGTTTAGATACAGAGACTGCAGCAGTGGCTGAGGTGAGCCTGGAAGAAGCTCTCCAGACATCACTTCGTGCCTCTTCCCCTTCTCACTGCCCTCCAGCCCCCCTGGCTCCCCTCTGCCCTGGGAACCGGTCAGGCACCCTTTCATTTTTTTTTGAAATATTTGTAATATTTTATTTTTAGCATATTTTAGATGTTTGAAGTATGGTACCATATGAATTTTAAAAAATGGATTATTTTTACCTTTTTTAAAATTTAAATTCAATTAATTAACATCTAGTGTATTACTAGTCTCAGAGGTAGAGTTCAGTGATTTCATCCATTGCATATAACAGCCAGTGCTCATTACATCAAGTGCCCTCCTTAATGTCCGTCACCCAGTTACCCCAGCCCCCCACCCCATCCCCTCCATAACCCTCAGTTTGTTTCCTATGGTTGAGTCTCTTATAGTTTGTCTCCCTCTCTGATTATGTCTTGTTTTATTTTTCCCTCCCTTCCCCTATGCTCCTCTGTTTTATTTCTTAAATTCCACATATGAGTGAAATCAAATAATTGTCTTTCTCTGATTGACTTATTTTGCTTAGCATAATACCCTTTAGTTCCATCCACGTTGTTGCAAGTGGCATGATTTCATTTTTTTGATGGCTGTGTAATATTCCATTGCATATATACACCACATCTTCTTTATCCATTCATCTGTCAGTGGACATCGGGGCTCTTTCCGTAGTTTGGCTCTTGTGGACATTGCTGCTATAAACATTGGGGTGCACGTGCCCCTTCGGATCACTACATTTGTATCTTTGGGGTAAATCCCTAGTAGTGCAATTGCTGGGTCGTAGGGTAGCTCTATTTTTAACTTTTTGAGGAACCTACATACTGTTTTCCAGAGTGGCTGTACCAGCTTGCATTCCCACCAGCAGTGTAAGAGGGTTCCCCTTTCTCTGCATCCTCACCAACATTTTCCTGACTTGTTCATTTTAGCCATTCTCACTGGTGTGGGAAAATAGACAGGCTCATGCAGAAGAATGAAACTGGACCATTTTCTTACACCATATACAAAAATAAACTCAAAGTGGATGAAAGACCTAAATGTGAGACAGGAATTCATCAAAATCCTAGAAGAGAACACAGGCAGCAACCTCTTTGACCTCAGCTGCGGCAACTTCTGGCTAGACACATCTCCAAAGGCAAGGGAAACAAAGGCAAAAATGAGCTTTTGGGATTTCATCAAGATAAAAAGCTTTTGCACAGCAAAGGAAATAGTCGACAAAACCAAAAGACAACCTACAGAATGGGAGAAGATTTTTGCAAATGTTTTATCAGATTAAGGGCTAGTATCCAAAATCTATAAAGAACTTATCAAACTCAACACCCAAAGAACAAATAAGCCAGTCAAGAAATGGGCAGAAGACAGGAACAGACATTTCTCCGAAGAAGACATACAAATGGCCAACAGACACATGAAAAAATGCTCAACATCACTTGGCATCAGAGAAATACAAATCAAAACCACATCAGGGCCTTTCTACTTGCCCTTCCCACAGATAGATGGGCCATCTCTTTCCCTCCAGAATCTGCATGGCTCACTACCCCGTTCACCTTATTCAGACCTCTGCTTCGGTGTTCCCTCAGCCAAGAGACATTTGCTGATCACTCCATATAGAATGGTGCTCCTTCTTCTTCCCTCTGACATTCTCTGTCCCCTTACCTGTTTTACTCTTCTTCATGGCACCTATGAACATCGTATATTTGCATTTTGTGTGTCGCTACCCCTTCTAGAAGGTAAGCTGTGTGAGAGTGAGGACTTTGTTTTAGTTAATGCTCTGTC